ATTTTACTTCAACATTCAATCGCCTACAACGCGCTAGCTCTGACTGCGTATTTCACCCTGGGTGCCTCGCTATTGTAAATAATTGTTTCACGCAGGTAGCAAGAGTGACGGGTGCCTGCTTATAGCTTGAAAATGCAACTTTCTGATCTGTTTCTTGTGAAAAATTGTTTAATTTTATAGGTAGACTCACCCACCACTGAACGCCGGTGGATTGCTGCTTCTATCGTTCTTCTCCTATTTCTTATTTTAAGCTTTTATCGGTTATAAAATGGTTTGAGGTGGATTTTAAATGTGAATAGATAGTGAATTTATACTGTGGCGGAACGACACCGCCACGACATCATTTTTTTCCAGCACCAAAATACCAATGGTGGATTGTTACTCTTGTTTTATAATTTATAAAATGATTTAAAATGTAAAAGCGATGCCTTTTTGTATTAAACAACTGCGCATGTGAACTATCAGTGGTGTAACAAATTCTTTGATGATAATAATAAATATATATCAGGGTTATTATCCAGTTAACGTCCTTGAGATAGACGATAATCAATTGTCCGCTGAATTAAGCTGTTAAGAAAATCAGCAAGAAATGTGACGCATTGGCAAATTATAGTTTAGAAAAATATGAATCGGATAAGTCTGTATAATCTAAGACTTTTGTCTGCCTCAATGGGTGAATCTTTAATTTCAAATCCGATGAAATCTCTGCATAGAGTATACAGGTAAGGAGGACAATCTCCCATAGGTGAATAGTTGAAAAGGAGTCCATCCATAAGCAGTAAATAAAAAATAATAAAAAAAACAGCGCTCGAGTAGATACAGGGTATGATAAATCGCCGTAAAATACGTTGAGTGATTTTGAAAATAAAAATTTTGGAAGCAATAAAATAACTATTGTAAAACGAATTATGGTGATAGTCTGTGCAATAATAAAAGTTACAAAAAGTTCTTTAAAATTCAGACTAGCTACAGTGGCGCCACCCTTATTTAGCGCTTTCTTACGGATACTTTTTTTATACAGAGTCTGTACTCCGTACCTCTACCGTAGACAGAGAAACCTATAGACCATAGATAAATAAATATGTAGCTATAGACTAATGATTAGCGTGGCCTTGAGTGAGAAAGGACGATAGCGTAGTTTTAGGTTATACAATAATGTTTATTACTTTTAAACATATTTAGATAAAAAATTTAATTGTTTTAAGGACTGAACTGAACAAGATTCACAAATCTTAAGCTCACAAAACACTTTTTCTCACTTAAACCAACTTGTAAACACTTTAGATTGCTACAAATTGTCAAAGTTGTTTAGTAAAGTGTAGTTTGCTAAACAAAAAAGCCGGCACGAAGAAAGGGACAAACAATCACACCGCTCTGTCTCATTTCTGTGCAAGACGTATGCATTAATCTATCTTTTTCGTGTGCGAATGCGAAAGAAGGCGTCAATATGTTTGATGAGAAGGTTTCTCTGTCTACGACCTCTAGACTCCACAACTCTCTGTCTACGAATTGGCAACCACAATTTTGTCTATGTTTGAGTTGGGCGCATATACAGAGAAACCTACTACTACTCTCTGTCTACGGTTGGACGTCTAAAAATAAAGCGAGAAAAAATATCGCTGTTTCTTTTCTTGGCGTTGTTTCAGATTGCAATTTCAAAAAGTTGGATACAAAAAATACATATTATATCGGAAGAAATTGAAAATATTAATTTTGTGTTAAACTTTTTTTTGGTTTGCTGCTTAGAGTATAATTACATGCATTTTACTCTGAAATTGGCACAATTGATTCACCAATCAATTTATCAATATTAAATTATAATAAAAATAAGAAGAGTTTTCGCAAAAGAAGCAATTAATTAAAAGAAGAAGAAAATTACATCAATCATCAATTAAGTCAATGTCTTTCATATTGAAAATATTTTCCAAAATTTATTCAAATTTATTTCGTAAGTTTATATTTTAATGTTCATTATTGCTTTTTGCTCAAATTGAGTTATTATCGGTTGAATTTCGTTTATAGGCATTTCCTAGCTAAAACACAGTCGTAAATATACAGTAACAATTTTTTTTGTGAGATATTGACTCTTTATAAAGCGAGGTTTAGATTAGCAACAAAACTTGCAGAAGTTGACTTCTTCAAGCTACTTCTACCGTGTAAGCAATCACGTCAAGCTTACTTCCGTAAGATTTGTGACTTGCAGGACTTGCCGCAAGTCGCAAATGTAAACACTATTTTGAATCTTGTGGCAGTAACTTGCGGTTTATTTTGCTTGCAAATAAAAGATTAAAGTTGCTGAGCAAGATTTCAGGTAAAAAGTTTGGATGATTCTGTGCGGCTAATAGAGAAGTATGAACAACACAGAGAATTATGGGATACGAAATGTTTATATATATATATATATATATATATATATATATATATATATATATATATATATATATATATATATAACTGCTTACGTTCTTCGCACCTGAGGTATTTTAATAAATGATTGTGGATACCAACATTATCTCCTCTTAATATCCAATTCTTAATCCACTTTCTATTTTTCCGTTTTTTTTTTAATATGAATGGGTGACAAACGAGCACACAGTCCACCTGATGCAAAATGGTTGCTGTGGCCCATAGACATCTACATCTATTTTTATATTTCCAGTAAAAAGGGTCTCCGGTTCTCTAAACTCACCATACAAAACACAGCAGCATTAAGCTACTATTTTACGCTGGTATTCTGTGAGAGCGTGGTCCTTCCCCGATCGAACCGACCCATTCGTGCTATAACTATACTACTAACATAACTGCAGCATGGCTCTACCACGTATAAACGTTTCTTTTTAATACTATATTAAATAAGAATACTATAGCAGCAGCACGTGTTTTATTACAGGTTGTAATGATGAATGATTTCAACTCTCTGAATTTTGATCCTTTGGCTTGCATGCAAAAAATACTTCCCTTAATAGTGTAAACTCTTTTCCAAGTACTTCCAGAAGTTATTTTGCAGGCCGATAGTAATATTGCTGGTATTGTAAACGGTACTGTAAGTACTTGGACAATAAATTGGCAGAAGTTCTTGCAAATCTAAACCCCGCTAAGATACTGGCTATAAATGAATTCATTATTTCAATTCAACATTTTATGCACGATGTGTTATCAGAATTGAAAATAAGATAAGTGTGCAAACAAAAAGCATAAAATTATCAGTATTACTTTGTGCAGGTTTCCTATAATAGAAAAAGAAAATTTGAGAATATTGTGCTAAGCCTATAACCATTTTTAATTTATTGATCGTAATATGTAGGGATTATTACAACTCGTATATTGACTCAAATTCTATCTATTTCAAATCATGTGTTTGGGCTGAGTTAAGTTTTTACCATGAGAATTTTGTTGATTTAAATTTACGATAATTTTCTGTGAATAATAACTCTCTGATAATAACTCATATTGTATATCAATAACATGCGTGGAAATATTATGTGCAAAAGCAATAAAAACGTTAAGGATAATGTACAGTTTATAAAACTATCAGTCTTCCCGTCCTTTTAAATAAAATTACATAACTATACCTATTTATAATTTTATTTATCTCACATGCTTCTCTAAAATAAATTCGAGCAATTTTGGTGCAACCTCTTAATTGTATGGGAATTCACCCAAAAGGTTTGTGAGACTTGAGCCAAAATCACCTCTAATTTTCCTTAAACAAAAAGTTTAAAAGTTGCAGAATACCTAGGTTTGAAATTCCCGCGAATAAAGTTTCATAAGGGTGCCCACTGTGCGCTAGTAGTATACACTCAGTCGCATATAACATTTTTATAATTTGAAGATAATATTCTTCTCTCGGTAAAGAGTAAATGTGTTCTGTGATCTTAATTAATTAACAACAACAACAACAGTTTAGGTGGGAACTTGAACGTCGACAGATTGTTGCACCCGTTTCATTAAAACCATGGAGATTAGAGAACAGGAGAACGATTACTATTGCTACGTGCTAAAGCATAGCCCCTCTGTCCCTAAAAATTTGTAGAATTTATAGCCGCGCTGCCGTCGCTTGCGAAGTAATTTTGGACTGTTTTAAAATATTATAAACAATAATACAAATAACTATGTATTAAATCAATAATATTTAATAATTTATAATATTTATAGTAATTACAATTATTGAGACAACTTAGAGATCGCAGCGTCTCACTTATTTTGTCCATATTTCTGGGACACTATTTTCTACGGCAATCGTTCTTCTGTTCTCTAACCTCCATGGTTAAAACAGGATTGGACTGAACTGAAGTGAATTGTGAAACGTAAAAATGATGCGATTTTGTGTATTAAATGTCTGCGCATGTAAACTATGAGAGAAAACGACGTAACAAGTGCTTCGATGTTAATATAAATCTCAAGTTATTTTATTTATTTATTTCAAAATCACTTGAGGCTTACAGAAAATCCAACACGCACTTTTTGATCGCTTAAGCGCCTTTTGAACTTGGGGTGACAGTCTTCAACGACTGTCCCACAGAGTACCTTTGTATAAACCGAAAGACTGTTAGGATTCTCTGTCTACGGACTGTTCGCCGCGGTGGTGTAGACACTAGACAGAGAAACCTAATCTGTCTACACTCTACGGTGACACATCAGTATCATGAAGAAAAAATCTATAAAAACAAAGATCGTGAATGAAATGAAGATTAAAGGACGAGCATTCAAGCCAAAAATCTTAATAAATAAAAAGTAAAAACAAAAAGCAACAACGACTGAATTTGAACAATTTCAATTTGAATTTTATTAAACTTTACTTAAATATTTAATATTATCATATTTTACAAACATTCAGGTGTTAAGGGAGTATTCTGTGTCAAGAAATAATATGAATTAATAAATTTTAATAAAGTGATCCCCGATAAGCACTGTTCTGTGCTGCAACCTGATAGGAGATGAGTAATATCCAAATTCAAAACGAAAACCATGGCAAATGTTATCGTAAAAAATACAAATATATGAAGAAGAGAATAAAAAGTTTAATTATTGTAAGTTTGCAATTGACTTATTATATTAATTACTTATAACGAAACAATAAATTATTAAATCTTAAACCAAATTTTAAATCATAAGCACAATTAAGCTGTTTCCCCAAATAGAAAAGCAAACTTAAAAGATCAAATAATGTAGTGTATTGTGGCTCTAGCATAAATGGGTCAACTCCTCTGCCTTTATTCAGAACTTTCATCATCCTCAAAATGCACATAGCTAAAGAAACGCCTGCCTCAAGGAATACCACAAATCACTGTAACGAGCCACCTGCATTCATCCATCTTTTTCTGCCCTGTATGTTATTACTATCTAGTAGAGCCACCCTATACTTTGCTTACTGATACAAGGTTCCCACTCGAGAACATTTCTTCTCTATCTGTTGTTGGTTCCTCAAGCTATATGGCTGGCCCACTGCTACTACAGCATTCTAATGTGTTAAGCTATGTTGGTTATTCTTGTTCTACTGTAGAAATCTTCATTGCCAATATTATCATGCAGAAAAACCTAAAGCAATATCCGACAAATTAAATATATAACATATTGAGTAACATTAAGCTTCCTCATAGGGTCAACATTGTTTTTGGTTGTGTTCTCTCTTCTTTTAAAGCTTAAAAACTACACATGATTAAAACACTAAAACACTATACATGATTAAAACTACTTTTATGAATTTTATCGTGTTTATTTTTACTTTTTATTTACTTTTATTTTTAATTCCCGATCCAAAAATAAATGCGATAAAATCCGTAAAAGTAGTTTTAATCATTAAAAAAATATGTTACTAGATGTGTAGTGATCTCTCAAATAATGCCCACTGAGGAAGAACTATCCATGCACATAATATCATTATGAAATAGCAGAATGTTGCTCCAGTGTTCCATTTTACTAGTAATGAAGTATTCCATTTTAGTCTTTAGGAGCAATTGAGGATAGATGATAGTGGCCATAGATACTTATTTTAATGGGCCACAACATCAACATATCATTAGGTGAACTGTCTGCTTGTTTGTCACTAGAAGAAAGGAATATAATATATATAAGGTTTATAGTAATTCAAGCAAATGATTGGAGTTTTAAACTACTTATCATTTAGGATGGATTCTCTTTACTGTGGTTGTTTGGTCTAAAATGCTTCAACAATTTTTTTGGAACTTGATATATGCATTATGTTTTTGAGTTTTTGATAACTAAATATCTAAACTTTGTTATGATTGCAGTTAGGCATTTGAATTGCATACATTTTAATGAGCATGGAATATTGTGTGTATTGAGGTAATTAATTAATTAAACTGTTATTACTGCAACCTAACATCATCATCACCATCCTTTGAGTATTCAACCAACTGGAGAGACCATATGCATTAATTCCTAAACAATAATTCTGTCAACATATCAGGGGGCGCTAGAAAAACACACAACTGTATACTTAACCACAAAAGCAAAATTAAATAGTGTCACTATAAATGCACATTACAGCATTTGTGTTTGTGTTCATTGCATTTATGCATACCATCAAATTGTACATGTGTCGATACACTGTTATCGCTGTCCACATGCATAAGTAACTTAGGGTGTGGACTATGTCAATATTTTTCATTGATAAACAAAGCACTATAGTATGCATATGTTTTTATTTGATTATAAGTAATCTTAATATATATAAATTACGTGTCGCATTGTTTGTCCGCGATGAACTCCTAAACTACTTAACCGATTTTAATCAAATTTGCACACCATATGCAGTTTGGTCCAACTTGAGAGATAGGATAGTTTTTTTTGCCCAAGAGTGACCACATTTTTTTTTTGCGAAATTAGGGATTTTTAATAGGACATGACATTAGTACTAACCTAACCATTTTAAACATAGGTTCTGAACCTACTTTCATAAACAAACGCTGTCGCACTATAATCGACCTCACACTTGCAACAGAAGGAGCAGCCAAACTAATTACGGAATGGCATGTGTCGAAAGAGGCCTCATGCTCAGACCATAGATGGATCTGCTTCGCACTACAGGTCGATATTCCCTCTACACCACCATGGAGAAATCCCCGCAAGACGGATAAAACAAAATACCTAAATAAGTTGACGTCTTCGCTCGCGGGTTCTGAGGGGATAAATACTATAGCAGATCAGTCGCTCCTAGAAGAACAGGTAGGAGCTGTTACTAAGGCCATGATAGATAGCTACCATGAATCATGTCCAGAAATCACTCCACCAAGGCATGCCGAGGTAAAGCAACAGTGGTGGGGTGTAGAACTCGATAGGAAACGCAAGAAGGTAAGAAAAGCCCTAAACAGGGCCATGAATACCTCAATGGATGAAGACTGGCTACTATATAAGAAAGCTAAGTCTGAATACAAAAAATGTATCAGGTATCGACGCTCGACTGGGTGGCGTAAATTCTGTGGCAACATAGAAACCTGCAAACAAGCAAATAGGATAAGGAATATTCTAGCTAAACAGAACACGTCGGGATCCATGTCTCTAAAGAAACCCGACGGTAGCTACTCAACATCGCCGGATGAAGCCCAACGCATCCTAATTAAAACGCACTTCCCAGGTTGCTGCTTAACCCAGGAGGCAAACCGGCATGACGACATACTGACACCAACAGTAGAAGACTGGAATTTAGCACAGAGAGTGGTAACGATGGACAAAATCCATTGGGCCATTCACAGTTTCCTCCCCTATAAGGCGGCAGGACCTGACGGCATATTCCCGGCACTTCTACAGTGGGGGGTAAAGCCCTAATAGTCAGACTTGTTGCCATAATGAGAGCCTGTCTGGCTCTAAAATTTGTTCCTAGGGGATGGAGGGAAGTGAAAATCACATTTATACCCAAACCAGGTAAGAGCGATTACACTGACCCTAAATCCTACAGGCCCATTAGCCTCACATCCTTTCTCCTAAAGACGATGGAGAGGATGTGTGAGAGGGAATTAAGGGGGTCGGCGCTAATGAACTTACCACTACACGACAAGCAACACGCCTACAGTCTAGGCAAATCAACAGAATCGGCACTTCATCAGGTAATTACTAAGATTGAAGGGGCCATCCAAAACAAAGAAATATGTCTAGGTTCCTTCATAGATATAGAAGGTGCTTTTGACAGAACAAACTTCTCCAGCATAAAAGGTGCACTCAGTAGACATAAAGTTGAATCGGCACTGATCGACTGGATAGTTTGCATGCTCAGTACACGAATAATAAAGATTGCTGGTGAATCTCAACCAATCCTAATTAAGAAAGGTTGCCCGCAGGGTGGGGTCCTCTCACCTCTCCTGTGGAATATGGTCATTAATGAACTCATCAGCAAATTAAATACTAATCACTTTTATACAGTAGGTTATGCTGATGACCTGACTATACTGGTCTCGGGAAAGACAGCTAGCATAGTGTGCGACCTGACCCAAGCGGCTCTCCGTATAGTGGAGAGATGGTGCAGGGAATACGACTTAACCGTCAACCCAAATAAAACGGTTTTAGTAATGTTCACACAAAAACGGATGCTGAATAACTATCATCTTCCAAGTCTTTTCAGCACAAAACTCCAGCTATCCTCTGAGGTAAAATATTTAGGTCTTACCTTGGACAGCAAACTTAACTGGAATAAAAACATAGAAAACAAAATCAACAAAGCTAGTATAACTTTCTGGCAATGCAGAAACATGATTGGCAAAAGATGGGGACTGACGCCAAAAATCATACTGTGGCTTTACAAAACTATAATCCGGCCCATGATCACATACGGCGCTCTGGTATGGTGGACCAAGACCAATGAAGCCACCACAATTAAGAAGCTTCAGCGCTACCAGAGACTGGCATGTATGGCTGCCACAGGCTGCATAAGAACTACGCCAACAGCAGCCTTGGAAGCGATGCTGGAGCTAACTCCGCTTCATCTACATATACAACAAGAAGCGACTTTAGCTGCCATCAGACTCAAGACCTTAAATCTTTGGAGTAAGAATAGTGTCCCTCATACAGGCATAATTGATAGAATTTACTCAGAAATTCCTATCCTACAAGCCAAATACGATAGGATTCCTAAACAATTTGTTTTCGATAAGAAATACAAGATACAATTAAATGAAAACAGCCAGCCGGAAGGATTAAGCCCAAAAGAGCTTAGAATTTTCACCGATGGTTCTAAAACAAAGGAAGGTGTAGGTTCTGGAGCTTTCTCTGAAGACCTCAATATTCACATATGCACACCGCTGGGTACCTATAACACGGTCTTTCAGGCGGAATGTATGGGTATCATTCAAGCGGCCATAGCAATAGATGCTAGGAAGGTTAATGACTTCCCCATCAGAATACTGACCGACAGTAGGGCGGTACTACAAGCTCTGAGTTGCAATGGGGTGAACTCGGGACTAATATATGAATGCCATCAACGATTAAATGAGGTATGTAAAAACAACAATGTGACTCTACAATGGATAAAGGGACACAGTGGATCCAGAGGCAACGATGCAGCGGACGAACTGGCCAGAAGAGGATCGGCTCTGGCCACTATAGGGCCGGAACCAATCATACCAATCCCCTTTGGTAACGTTCGTTCAATGGTACGTAGACACTTCACTAATCAACACGCTCAGCTTTGGAAAAATCTAATAGACTGTAGACAAGCTAGGGAGGCCCTACCTGTAATAAACAGTCGCTTAACCAAAGTTCTAATGAGACTGAACAAGCCGCAGATCAGGATAGTAACTAGTGCTATCACAGGACATGGCACCTTTAACAAACATTTATTTACTATAGGTGTTACAGATAGTCCCCTGTGCAGGGCATGTATGGGGGGAGGAAGAAACGGCGGCCCACGTGCTACTGAAATGTCCGGAGGTCGCTACGTACAGGGCTAAACATCTCGGCACGCCGGGATCACTCCCCGAAGTTGCATGCAACATCAAGGGACTGTTGAGCTTCTTCAGGGAGATCTCATGGCTCGAATAATCACATTATTCCTGCCCACACGCAAAATACGCGCAGA